AGTCCCAGCTCTCAGGCTGCCACAGCTCTCGGCTGTCCAGGGGATTCCATACCTTCTCTACACAGTTCCAGCTCTCAGGCTGATATTCCAAAGTCCCAGCTCTCTGGCTGCCATACACGTAAAGTCCCAGCTCTCAGGCTGATATTCCAAAGTCCCAGCTCTCAGGCTGTCACAGCTCTTGGCTGTCCGGGGGATTCCATACCTTCTCTCTCTCTCTGTTTGGCTGCATGTTCGTCTTCACACGGGGTCACCAGTTGATGTAATCTTTGCTCTCTGGCTGCCATACACGTTAAGTCCCAGCTCTCAGGCTGTCACAGCTCTCGGCTGTCCGGGCGATTCCATACCTTCTCTCTCTCTCTGTTTGGCTGCAGCATTGTTCTTCCCTCTCTGCCGGGGTCTTCTTCTATCTTCTCAGGGGCTCCTCCTGGGCTCTCGACCCACCCCTATTTATCTCAGTTACCCTCACGAGCCACAGCTGTTGCCCAACTAAGGACCCTGCAGCTGCAGCTCGTTTGGAGTAACTTAGACACACACTGATCTCACAATACAACATATATTCAGGCCCCCACATGCAGGGACACAGGGGACACACACAGCCTGCAGGGACACCAGGGACAGGGGACACACGGCCTGCAGGGACACAGGGGACATGCTGTGGTCCCCACAGAGGCAGTGCACACTGGGGTGCTCTGGGGAGTGGGTGGCCCTTCCCTGGGGGTTCCTATCCCTGGCCTCCCTCCTCTGGGGACCCGCAAGGCCAGAGATTGTTCACCCAGTGCTGACAGCAGTGGCTTCTGCCAGGGAGCTGGGGCACCATGGGCACCCTCTGGGGCTGGCTGGCAAAGAGGGAACCAGCACAGACCGCCGAGACCCCAGCCAGGACAGGCCTTGCTCTCACAGCAGGAACAAGAGTGTTCTCCACCAGTGCCCAGAAGGAAGCTCATCACTTCACCTCTGTGTCCTCTCAATCACTCTGTTGTTCCTGGTCACTTAAAGGGCTGCTTGTCTGCAGGACGTCTCCTGTGACAGGACAGGGCAGCTCTCATGGAAGGGCCAGACTGGCTGGTTTTCTCACACAGCTATGGGTGGAGGGAGTAATTCAGCCCCAGGATTTAGTGCAGTGCCAGAAACATGTTCACCTCCTCAAGTGGCTGCTGGGGGCTGTGCCCAAACTGAAGCCTGAGCTGTTCTCCAGTACTGCCTCCCACTCAGCATGGGGATGGCTCCTGGACGTTCAGAGCCTGCTCAGTTGGGGTTTTTCCCCATTTTTGTGTTTCCCACCCTCTTGATTGGCATGCCAGTGATCTACCCTGACTGGATCCTTGAGACAGCAGATCCTCTCTCAGCCGTGCTCCTGTGGCTGGGGTGGAAGGCGACACCCGGAGCACACCCTGGCACTCACCAGTCTATGCAGGCAGTTTGGGCCGTGCTTGCTTTGCTGTGCTGTCAGGAGCACTGGCAGAGCTGCCAGGCTCCCTGAGCCGTGCTGCTGGAGCAGCACAGGGCACACAGCTCTCCCAAGAGAAGCCCGAATGCAGCCAGGCACAATCTGGCAGCACCACCTGCCCCAGCCTGCCCCGCTCCCAGCACAGGGACCAGCCCCTCTCTGTCTCCAGCATCAGCTCCTGGGCTGGCAGTGAGCAGATCTGGGATCCTCACAGGGTGCTCCTGCTCCTGGGGCACAAGCAGCTGATGCTCCCTGGAGCAGCTCTGAGGCCCAGCAGGACACACGGACACACAGACACAGCCCTGTGACCCTGCCTGGGAGCAGAGCCCAGCCAAGGAGCCGTTCCCACACGCAGCCTGCCCGCCCAGCGCCGTGCCAGCCCCGCTCCTCTCCTGCCAGACACGTCCCACGCACCCCATCCAAACAGGGACAGAGCCAGCACAGCCCAGGTGACATCACAGTGCAGCCACCCTCGCAATGCTGCCATGTAGGGAAAACTCCCTGCACCACACGTGATCGGGCCTCTCTGGATAAAACTAGCTTGAGGCTTAAAAAGCCTTAATTGAGGGAGCAGAATTAAGACATTTTTCCTAAACAGAATCTGGATCCAATCTAGGAACTCCCTAATGGATAGGCAATTTTTTATGTTCGAATGCATTGGCTGCACTAATTCAAACCATGAGTGCTGCAGCCCTCACGCTCCAGCAGCACTGTGGAACTCTTGCTCACAATCAGAACCAAAAAAGGCTTTTGGAATTGCAGCTCCATCTCTGAGTCCCAAAGAACTCCATGGGGGACAAACCATTTAACCCGTGCTGTGCTTTGCAGGTATAGGGAAGTGTGGAATTGTGAGGCCATGGATGCCCTGGGAGTTCAGTTCTTTTTCATACCCCGAGCTCATGTGCCGAGCTCATGTGCCGTCCGAAGCACCCAGACCCACAGAAAACACCTGATCTGACACTATCCCTCCCCCAGAGGGTTGTCAGTGGAGTTAGGAGCTTCCCAAGGATCTGAACCAAGTGCTGACAAGTTTCGGTGATGTCCCATGAAATCCCTCAGCTAATTAATTTTTTTCTATTAACCCTTCAATACAGGCACAAGATAAAATTTTAAACTGTAATAAATAGTGATAAATATCGACTGACTGCCAACATTTGTGAAAAGCTTCCGTTCTAGATCAATACCCGTTTGGATGAAGCAGTCTCACATATCTGTACCCATTTACTGCCTGTTCCTCAGAGGCAAATCAACTGCCAGGTCTGTATTTCCATTAGCAGTTGCACACTTTCTGTGAACCCTCCCATTTCCCTCCATTAGGCTGATGACTCCTTCATGGGCTCTTTACCCACCACCCCCAAATAAACCACCAGTGACACTTCCAAAGCAAACTGCATTTAATGAGCCATCCTGCCCCAAGTGCAGCTGGCCCGGGGCTATGCCTTGATGGCGAATTTCCGGGCTGGGTATAAACGTTCCTTTCTCTGCTGCTTCTTGGTCTTCAGGTTCTCCTCGTGCTTGTTGAGCCTGCGCCGCATGGCCCTCGTCTTCTTGGGCCGCAGATCCAGGGGCTTGTACTTCTTGCCCTGTTTGCAAAGACACACAGCAGCTGAGCTCAGGAGACTTCTCTCCACTGGGAATCACGGGTGCATTGTGACTTTTGCAGCAGCTCTGATTCAGTTTTAAGTAAGGCCTGATCTTACAAGCCCCACTTATCCAGCACCCCTTGAAAAGATCTTTTTTCCCCAACCGATATGATCTAACTCAAACTCCAGGAAGTGATAGTCTAAAAATTACAGAACCATATAGAATTTCTTGGTCACCTGTGAGATGATTAAATTGAAAATAAGAGTATCTGAATTTCTGCAAACCACATCTCCCAGCAAGTCCACCCCACAGAAGGGATGCTGCCAGAGGACTCTCCTGCAATAGGAGACACACCAAGCTTGCAGAACTCTTGCACTAATATTTAAAAAGCAACCATGACCAGAGAACTTTAAACTGAACATAAATTATAGTTTTAAGCTTTTAAGTAGCAATCCTTCCCAGAAACCTTGTAATTGTGAACGGCAAGAGCGTAAAGGCCACTTACGGAAAATGCCTGTCCTTACCTTGTAGAACTTCCTCAAGTTCTCCTTCTGGGTCTGGTTGATGACGGTCAACACCCTGGCGATGGATTTGCGCACCACTCGGCTGCAGGTGGGAAAGAGAGGGATGTGAGCACACCGTGCAGGAGCAGCTCTGCGGGCCGAACCCGGGCTACAGAACCCGCGTGTGCTCCGGAGCCCCCACACTGAGCCCCGCTACAGCCAACACCGGCAGCGCCCGGCCCANACTCCCGGTGCCCTGCCAACCTAAGCCAGCAGGAATCTGCCGCAGGGACGGAGCAGGGGTCGGGTGCCAGGGCAGGGGTAAGCCTTCCTCTTCCTCCCTCTCGCACCCAGTGAAGGAGGCAGAGTGCGAAGGCACCATTGAGGCCGTGCAGCCCCCCAGGGAGCACCACAGCTACGGGCGCAACGAGGGGGCCTGGATGAAGGACCCGGCAGCCAAGGATGACCGCATCTACGTCACCAACTACTACTATGGCAACAGCCTGGTGGAGTTCAGGAGCCTCGACAGCTTCAAGCAGGGTGAGGGGCAAGCGGCTGAGCGGGCACAGGGGCCCTGGCTGCCCCTAGGTGGGTGACACCAGCTGTGCTGGGCCCTGGGGCGGTGGGCAGATGAGGGGAGCATCCAGAGGGCAACAAGGGTGACACAAGGCCCCTTCTGCTGCCGGCATGCTCTGGCCGTCGTGCATGGGACCCCTGGGCTGTGGAGGGTCCCAACACCTCTCCCACCCACCCACAGGCCGCTGGAGCAACCTCTACAAGCTGCCCTACAACTGGATTGGCACGGGGCACGTGGTGTACAGGGGGGCCTTCTACTACAACCGAGCCTTCACCAAGAACATCATCAAGTACGACCTGAAGGAGCGCTACGTGGCGGGCTGGGCGCAGCTCCACGATGTGGTGTACGAGGACACCACGCCCTGGAAGTGGAGGGGCCACTCGGACATCGACTTTGCCGTGGATGAGAGCGGGCTCTGGGTCATCTACCCCTCGGTGGACTATGACTACTCCCAGCAGGAGGTGATCGTCCTCAGCCGGCTGGACCCCGTGGACCTCTCGGTGCGCAAGGAAACCACCTGGAAGACAGGGCTGAAGCGCAACACCTACGGGAACTGCTTCATCATCTGTGGCATCCTCTATGCTGTGGACACCTACAGCCAGAAGGAAGGGCAGATCTCCTATGCCTTCGACACGCACACGGACACGGAGGCAGAGCTCCGGCTGCCCTTCCTCAACCACTACTCCTTCACCACGCAGGTCGACTACAACCCCAAGGAGAAGGTGCTCTATGCCTGGGACAACGGCCATCAGATGACCTACGGGCTCAGCTTCGTGGTCTGAGTGCCCGGGCGGGTCCCTCTGCACTCCTGCACCCACCCTGCCTGGGGCACCCTGACGCAGCCTGGCCCTGGCACCCCCACTCCAGCCAGGGCTGTGGCAAGAGCCCGGCTTCCCCCTCAAAAGCTT